AAAGTCAGATTTTGAATTTCATGTCTGAGCACGAAACCATCGTGTCACCAAAATGGTTGAAAAATGATCAACAAATGTATGGATGTGGGTACTCCATTCGGACCAAAAAAAATTACACCGGTCAACAGATATTGCTCAAAAACTAATCAGCACGTCTCCTAGTAGTCCCAAATCATCCTGCAAAGTCAGAATTTGAATTGAGTTTTTGGAAGTAGATTTATCGAGTTAACAAATTTTGGCAACACGCCACATGCCACACGCCACATGCCACACGCCACAGGACACAAGACACATCACACACAGCGACGCACATTAAAATGCCCCAAAATCATCTCTAATCGTGTTTTCTACATTAAATATGCATAGAAAACATGTTTTGGGATGACTTTAATTTTTTGGCCTAATACAATACCTTTCCTACACTAGTTGTGCGGAAAAGTAAAATAAATAGATCGCATTCGGTGGCCGCATTAAAGGAGTTTTTACAATTTGAAGAAAAAAATATTAAGGAAAACTCCTTTAATGCTGCAGCTGATACATTGACACACCGAAGAAAATATCGATGCCGTACCGTTGAAAAAGTACACTTTGTAGTAAGTGATTTTATACCGTTACTTTTTTTCCAAACTTAATACGCCAAAGTACCAATACTCAATTTTACCTATGTATTCATAGCCGCTTTAAAAAAAAACCTCATCAATTCATACATCCAAATCGATAGTCCATCCAAAATAATAGTCACTGACTTTTTAAATATTTATCACATATTTACAACGATTTATTTACATTGTATCGAAATAAAAGTTCAAGACATACACAAAATCAATGTTCGAAAATGTAAAATAAAATGAAGAAATGAGTATTGTTTGCGAACCAATTTCATCACAGTGATTGTTGCCAAACGTGTGTGCTGCTATCTGAAGCTGATGCCGTATTTTTTCGTAACCTGTGGCGAATGTATTGAAGCAACCGAAAGCAATAACGGTACATCATTTGCGGATAAATTTAATGCAGTTGTAACGGTGTTCAGCGAACAAAATTCGGTGGCCAATAGAAAAGCGGCCAATGTTTCCGATTGTAGGTAAATTTCTTTGAGTTTTGACTCCAAAAATGACATACATTGGTATGCGGATGTGCCCGCCAACCACATAGCATGAACAGTTTCGAGCATATTCGATACTAGCTGTGACATACCGATCGGCTCTCCAGGGCTTTTGGATGACAATGCACACGTTTGTGATGATACCAATTGAACGTCCCTGCCAAAGAGAAAAGTGGCCGTAAATTTAAATAGTCCAAAATAAAAAATTTCTTTTTTTTTTACCATTTATCAATATTGGCAATGATTGCAACGTTTTCCATGCGCATTTGTTCGAATGTGGCACAATGTGATGCAAGTGTTAGGTTTTGTTTCAAAATTGGCTCCCACTTGGTTTGAGGCGATGTGATACCCTGTGGAAAAATGCATGTAAAATTATAAACGAAAAATTGGATAAAATTCGTGCAAACACTCACTTGTAATACCATATCTGGAATGAAATGATCGGTGATGCCAACGAATAGCGACGGCACATAGCCCGGTCGTATCCGGCCGCAATTTTTGCTATCGCTTAGAATGTCCGTTTTTGGAATTGGCAATGTGATTAGCTTAAGCCTTTTGGAATTATTTACTTTTTTCGAACGTTCACCGCCGTTATCATTCTCATCGTTAATCTCAACATTTTCTCGTTTAACAGCAATTTCTCGATTCTCGTTCGTCTGCACCTCAGTCTCATTCAATGTGCTTTCATTTTCGATAACCGTTCTGAGTTTTGTTGGTTTTGTAATTGGAACCGGATAGACGGTGTCATCATTGGAAAATTCCAATTCGGTGGCATTGGATGGTGTTTGAAACATACGGAATGTATTGGCGCAACATTCACATTGCTCTTCATCGTTTTGTTCATCATGTTCATCTTGCGGTGCAAGCATTGGTAGAAAACTAGTCGAACTGGCACCAGTTTCTTGCTCTAGTTTTAAACCTTTTTCGAAAAAATCGTAATTGGTAATGTCTAAGTTTTTATTCTTCATATAATTGGTGACGATCTGTGGATATTGCTCAAAATTAAATTTCACTCCGGAATGTTTTTTGTGCGTACAACGTTTTTTCGGTGTACTATTCTCTTTGACTTTGGATGTGGCCGTGCTGCCACTTTGCTCGTTGGATGGTCGTTTGATAGGTAATTGTGTGCTTAATTCAGATTGGATGTCCAGTCGAACGGGCGATGCTAATGACGGTGACGGTACGGCATTACTTTCGATTCGATCATTACTCAGCGCTGGCGATGGTGGCGGCGTTTTTAGCACTTCGTCGCCCAAGACAAAAACCACACTACCACCCGGTTTCAATGTCTGTTCATTATCTACACTCGATTGTTGGCTTAATTTCACTTTCTGCAGCAACGATGCAATCAACTCCAGCTTATTATTATTTTCAACATTTTGAATGTCACTGGATTTTATTTCAAACACAGTCTTGGATTTTCGTAAGTGATTCGTGGTATTTTGCTTGCTTTTGACACTTTGCGACCGCTTAAGGTCGGTGTTTTTTATTTGGACAACATTATCAATGTTGTCAATGCCCGGCCTCCATTTTTCAATAACGATACCCTCTTTGACTGTATCGATACTCCATCGCATACGTTTCGATCTATTTCCATTCGAATCAATACTATTTGGTATGATTTGTTTTGAATTGATTTCCTCTTCATTTGTTATGTCGATTTTTTTCAATATGAAATCAATCGCCTCCGACGCCGTTTCGTACTCAAATCGATCATTGTTCGGACTAGTTACCATGAGTCGAATGGTACTATTTGGTGAACCATTTTTATTGAGGTATCCATTTTTTATATCACTCTCTAAATTATTCAATCGGCGATCATCATAATTCGATTCAGACTGTGTTCGTATAACATTTGCCGTCAGTGGATGTTCATAACCAACGGTTGCTATATTTTTTAAACAAGTTTTACTCCTTGATAGACCTTTTGATTGACTATCTTTCGTCTCTGGGTACATCGATTCAATGCGAGCACTCGACAATTCAACATGACTACCCTCCACCTCAATGTGACCTTGCTTTATTTCCGTGTAAATTTCTGGCCGTCCACTGACCTTTTCTGTTCCTCTTTCAACAGGTTTTTCTTTCACCTCCAGGCTAACATTTGAAACGGATGATTTTTTTCGTTTACCTTTGATAATTTCTTCGATTTCAATTTTATCCAACATTTTGGTGCTTTCAACTCTTTGTATATCACCGCATCGCATAAAGTACGTGAGTACGCTAAGCACTTTATTTATAGTAACTGTATGGGCTCCACATACAATTGTCTTTGCCAATCGTGATGGATTCCCAATTGAACCGTATAAATCACCAAGTTGAGCCCAGAGAACATTGTACGGATGGAATTTTGATATTTCAGACATTTTCGCTTGATTTTGATTGATTGCTATCACTGGATCGTTGTTCATGGAAGCATTTACGATTGGTGCTATTGTTGCCACCCAACCCAAATGATTGGTCAGTATTGCCGTCAGCAATGTGCTCACGAAACTAAAGAAAAACGATACAAAAAGATTAGACGAATATATTCACAATTTGGAAATGATTGAAACATACAAATTTGTATCTTTGGTATCGGCAGTGTTCAAAAGCCAACATAATTCGGTCATAAAATGTTTGGCCAAATATTTTGGTCGATCCGAATGGGTGTTGTTCAGTGAAAACCATATCGGTTCTAATCGGGGCGCTGTAAATAAATCGGTTATCCAAGTTGTCGTTGCCAACCAAGCGTGTAACATTAACTGCAGAGGAGAAAAAAAATATGCTGGTGAAAAAATGTTGAGAAAATTGACAGGGATCGACCTGGTACGAAATACTAGAGACAAGACAAGACACAGAGCTGTTATAGGTTGTAATCGGGTGCGACACTCGAAAAATTATATATATGGCATTAGTGTCGGTCATATGATATGACTCATAACTGGTACCCGCTCGTCTCTGTTACCAATAACAGATCTGCCAAAGAATATGGTACCCATCATTCAATCGTTCTTCAAAATCCCCCAAATTACCTGATGAAATTTCTTTTGATTAATGTACGCTGATTCAGCGGCTGCCCTGAGTCTGCACAGCATCGACTCAAGCAGTACAATATGTTCAGAGCAAAATAATTGCATTTCATTTTCGGCCGATTCGCTGAATCGAATGCAAACGGCCAGTCCAATTTTTGAGCGTCGTTGTGCGTTTCTCGCCTGTAACGAACAACTGGAAAAATGAATATGTGGCGGTTTCAAACTTTCCTTTCCGCTATTTTTCCGGCGTCGTATCATTTCCGGATTGCTTTTACTTTCACATTGATCACTATGCCGGCGCACCATAGACCCAGGAACACTGCAAATCGAACGGTCATCACGATTCTCATCGATATAACCGATAAAATCATTTCGTGAAAAATTGTTCTCAAACGACGTGGACATATTTCGTTGAATACGACGCTGTAAACAACCATCACTACTACGTCCATTTATTGCAGCATCCACCAATATAGCCGAGTCGATGCTTAACTTCCGGCTCGTCATATTTGGATCGGTACTAAATATGGATACAACACTGCCATGGTCCGATCGAGAACTCGACAAATCATTACCCGAAAAACCCGAGTCACAGCCACTAAAACTGCTTCGATCAAACGATGACGGTACATTCAATGGAATCGATGTGTTTGATTCCTTCTTTTCAATCGATTTGTCTGTCATACACAATGACAGCGACAATGAAATCGAATTTGTTGAATTTCCATTGGCATTTGTATCACGGTGCGTGCTTTCATTGGGTTTCACATCATTCGTGGATCTTCCTCGACAAAAACTCGTTTTTGAATGTAGCGGAGAGAGAAACACTTGCGAGCACAGAATTCGAGTCGGGTCACGAAGCCAATGCACCTTCAATGAAAATAAATTATATGTTACTATTTTTTAGCACTCGATTTGGACAATGTTTTTACCTTTAGTGATGTGCCTTTGAATGACATCGCTACCGATCCAAAAACCATTTCGCCGATATTCGTACTCTCGCCCATTGTATGATCGTATTTGTATCCATAACCATTGCAGATTTCAATAAATGACTCGGATTTGTCATTTGTTGTCTTTCCATTTTTATCGTTGTTTGTTTGATTCACCGGTATACTGACTTTTTGCACGGCACCCGAATCGAATAATAATCGTCGACCGCTCCAATCACACTCTCGAAACAACAGCACTCGCACTTGGTCGTCGGAAAATGGAAATAAACTGTTGAAGAGAAAAACAAAAATTTAACGATAAAAATAAAAGCTGACTTTTTCACACGAAAAATAATAAAATAAAGTTTTTTTCCACACAAATAATGTTGATCGTTCATTGGCATTTCGAAGCAGAATGTGAACAGAGCGCTTGATATAAATAAAAATAAACATTAAGTTCTGTTCACATACCTTTCATTCATTTGACATTAAATAAAAATTGATCGATTTCGTTTGTTCAATGAATCAATTCTTATACAGAGTGCAAATTGATAGCGAATAAAAACAATTTGCCTGCAAATCGAAGAATTCGATCAAAACAAGCAGGCAACGCAAATATACGAAGTGACGACTCGTGTTCATTCAAAAATATCGGTTTGCGTCTCTTTTTTCTTACAATAGCAGTCGAGTCGTAACCGTGTAGTCGGTCCGCACACATGTAACGATGCTGATTGCGCACTCTTTTCATTATATATGTGTCATTTGTAGCTGTGTGAGATTATTTGTGAGTTGTACGTATGTTTCTAAAAATGAAATTGCTGTCACTTTCGCATGCATAACTCAATAGATAAGTCGAAAAAAAAAATCAAATAAATGCGGATACATCTTAATCACAAAACGACCGTCAATTGTATTGTACAAGGAGACAGGCATGTCACACTCTCCAGAGTGAGATGGGAAGAAAGAAAATAATAGGCGTATAGAAAAAGAGAGAGTGTGAGCCAGAGCGAAAGACAGAACGAAAGATAGAAACCGAGAGAAGGAATGAACGATTGATAGTGGGAAAGAAGTAGAAGATAGAGAGAGGAGCAGAGAGAAAGAGAGATCAATATCACGAGCGAGATATATAGAAAGATAGTGAGATCGATGAAAAAAAAAAAATTGCGTTACACATGCAGAAATGCAGTTTTGATGTCATTTGTGAACGTCACAACTCACAACGACGTCAAATTCATCTTAATATAGTGACTAAAGAGTGCAGGTCAAACATGAACACAAATGTTATGTCGATTGAGAAAAATGTCTCGGAAATGTTCCGAATGAAAGTGCATCATTCATAATACAATTAGTTACCTTTCATTTGAATTTTTATTCTTTGAAAAACGGTCTCCACTTTTGCGTTTACTTGATTGAAATATTTTATTAAATAATGCCATTTTTTTGATACGAAATCTTTCTCCATTCACTTTACTTTTTTCTGTCTATTTATTTTGTGTTATTTTATTTAGTTCATCTCAATCAGCGTAAAATTTTCCGTAAATCGCTTCAATTATCATCGATTTAAGAAGAAAAAAACAGAATTATTTGCGGGCAATCGTGTATTTTAGATTGCTTCGATGGATTTATGTTGCTGTTGATTGAAACACTTAATTGAATGACGACTCGTCACTCTTATACTAATAGAGTAAATAAATAAACTATGTCTACTCATTTTTGGTCAATTTAGTGTGATGTTTGATTTACTTGATTTCTTCAATTTACACATTTACACAAACAATATTACGTTCACATTATATAGAATCATTTTCAAAATTGTGTTCGTTTTTGCACTAAAAACTCCATTGTGATGTATTTTTGCACCGATAAAAGTTGAATCACAAAAATTCGATGCGATACCATGATCATTATTTTTCTATTTCTCGCCTTCAAAACGACATTATTGTTCAAAAAAAAAAATGCGTTTGTTCGCGACAAAAACGATAAAAAATTGGTTCTATACTAAAAATAACAAGAAAACTCAAACTTTTACACTCAAAATGGAACGTATTTTCTAATTTTCATATGATCTGCACTTTTTTCTTTAACTTTATTTTTCTCAATGAAGAGAGCGAGAAAAAAAAACTATGCACTAATAGACACAAATGATGATATGATTATTGCATGTCGTGCACTGAGTATCAAACGACACAACAACGAGATACGTGAATTTTCGTGCAAACACACACGTTCACATATACACAGACGCTACATTTGAGTGGTATTCGAAAGTCACGTGTTCGATTGAGGCAAAGCGAAAAAAAATCTTTTTTTTTTTATATATAGACCAGTTGTAGAAGACAAAGCGAGACGCACTGAACACACTATTCAGTGGCAGTGAATGAGATGGCGCACAAAGAACAAAACGGACGAGAGAAAAAAAGTAAAGAAAAAAAAAACAAATCAAGTCATATGACTTGATTTCACAATAACGCCGCTTTATACGTATAACAAATATAAATAAAACTGTTTACAGACCCGAAGTGTACGATGAGAGAAGTACCAACAACACACACACAGATCTTGTGGTGGTGTATGTACGCAAACGCACGAAGATCGCATCGGGTATATGTTCATTGCCTCGAGATAAATGTATGTAGACACTTCGTTCGGCTGCGATTCGGTGTTTCTATCTTTTTTTTTTTGCTTGAATTTTTATTATGTTTACTGGATTTGGTGAGACTGCACTCTGGTGTGGATGCGTTTGGCGCGCATATCAATGTTTATGCACAGCTGTCCCAATTTTCGACATAAATTCAGTTGTTGTTCTCTTTGATTTTGTCTATCGCCTGAGTTTATGTGATTCTTTTGATTCACATGCTAATTTTGAGCGCCCGAGACTACGCCTTTTTTAAATTCAGGGATAATCGCTTTCAATTTTCAAGTTATTTTTAATGAATAAAAGATTAACTTATTAAATTCGTAAAGATTTATTAAATGTTCCATAAAATTTGACATTGAAATTTTGTTGATAACTTTTTTTTAGTAATATAACACAGTAAATATGGCACATCTCGTGAATTTTACGTTATTCAATTCAATAGATTTACATTGTAAAAGGAAACATTTCAACTGTAGAAAAATGTCAATTGAAAATATCAAATATTTTTGATTTAACGTAAAACTAATTTAAATTTAAAAAAAAATTCTTTGATAGTTCAAAATTGTGTAACTCATACTCATAATATCCAATTGTATGACGTGTCTCGTTTCATCTCGATCAATTTGAAGTCCATCTGTTTCATTGCCCGTTTTGTTGCTAAATACACATCTTCTCTGACGTAGATTGTGATTTTGCACGCTCCAACTAATTTCTCACGCTCTTTATTCAATACCAATAAGTCGAGAGTTCTAGCGTGTACCAGAAAATTTGCATCTCGAAAATATTCCACTTTAATTTTGTTCACTTTCTCTGCATGGCGAACGAATAATAAAATTTCATTAAAACTGGCCAATGCAAAATGAATGCGTTTCAAATTCAAAAGGATATATGGAAGTGATTTTAGATCAGTAATAAAACAACTTTCTTGGACACGTAACTCTTCCAACTTTCTCAAAGTACCAACATTGACAAAATTTGTGTCCAATTCGACATTAAATTTCGCCAAACCTTTTACTGAAGCCAATTGATCGATATATTCTTGACAAATCCGAGATCCGTAATGAAAATGTATATGTAGTTTCTTATAAAATCCAGACGAGTAGAGCTCATTTAGTAAACGGCAAAATAAGTGGAATTTAACATTGCCATCATTAGTAATCTCCAATGTGTCAAATTTGATGTTTGACTTTTTGAACAACTCTCTATTTGACCAGAAAAGTTCCATGTCGACAGAAAACTTCTTAATTGTTGTGTTTAGCTCAAATAATGTTTTTAATGCTGGAATTTCCTTCGAAATAGAACGTTTCAATTCAAAATGCTCCAATGCTGGGTAAATTCTATGTGTCCATTGGTCTTCGTTTGGTTGTCGGTCCAAAGATAAATATTTAATATTTGAGGAGCAAACAGCAATCAATTCGCCCAATACATTTTCATTTTCCTTCTTATAGCGACAACCATTTAATATTAAACTTTCAGCTTTAGACAGAATTTCTTTCATTTCGGTAGACACAGCCATTGTTAAACGACCAAGAAGATCAACAATTTTGATTCTTTTAATTGATGTTGAATTTTTCAATGCAGCTACAAACTTCATCATATGATTCTCAGCATCATTGTTAAGGTATACGTTTTGGAGGAAATCGATAAAACAATCTATCTTGATACTGTTAAGGTAAAAACAATATGAGTCCAGGCATGAGTAGAATTCTGCTTCTGCGGCTCCATAGTTTAGTTGAAAACAATGACCGGCGATTCGTTGCATTCGTTTACATGTTTGCCCCATAGCTGTCAAATCCTTCAACGATAAATAGTCGAATACTTCCTCGAAACAATCGATGTTAAGTTTGAAAATATCAGCCAATTGTTGCTCACCGTTCACAGCAGCTGGATTATTGTCTTCATCGTTTGATTTCATTTTTTTGGCACTTGGTCCACTTTGATCGGCGTTTTGTATTTGGTTCATTTTGTCTCCGTTTTGATCTATTGATTACAAAAAAACAAAGAATGCTCATTTAAAATTCGAAATCATTTTTAATGAATAAAAATCAGTGAAAAAACCACAATATTGACATTTTGTGCTATGGTGTATCTCTATCGACTCTGTCTGTTGAGTGTATTTCACAATATAATGTATTAGTACGGAAAGCTTGTGAAACAAGTTTTATTCTACTCCACATTGTTAACCATAATATCACACAATATTCAAGAAGTGTAGTTTCTATCATTGATGATAGAACAAAACACAAAATCTTACCTTAAATTTAATGTAGAATAATTAAACCAGAAAATACAATGCAATTCTGTTGAGCTTTTCTCTTCAAATGACAACTGAGTCATTTTCTTGATAAGCAAATAGACACTTCATTGAATCAAGAAGTGCTTTCCAATGAACTGATAAGAAATAAATACAAATTCAAATATTAAGTAAAGTGTGTACTCAACCATATGATCGTTTAAATTCATATTTCTTCTGTGGATATTCGTTCTTAAAAGCAATAAATTAAAGTGACAGTTTTGAACATTTAAATAATGAGATGAGATAAATTAAGAAGTCGTAAGATGGAATTTAAAGAGAGAATTTGTAAAGCAGATATGATATGTTGTGTTTAGCAGAGTTAAGTTTGAAGTGATTTTATTCATGAAAAGTATTGGTATTTATACAAATTTAGAATAATAGAAAATAGTACATATAGTGGGATTGACTTTATCAATATATGAATCATTAACATTCGTATTTCAAATTTAGTTTCATTTTTACTGCTTTGTATATACGTGCAAGCGAATATATTAACCTGTTTAAATCATTAACACTGTCCGTCTGTTTCATGGCCCATTTTGTTGCCAAATAGATTTCTTCCCTTACGTAGATCAGGATCTTGCATGCTCCAACTAATTTCTCACGCTCTTTATTCAACCCCAATAAATCGAGAATTTTACCTTTTCCATCGTAATGTGATCCACTTCGAAAAAGTTCCACTCTAATTTTGTTCACTTTCTTTGCGTGGCGAACGAATGGTAAAATGCTATCCGAACTATTAGTATATACAAAACGAATTCGTTTCAGTTGCGAGAGCATATGTGGAAGTGAGTGCAGTTCAGAAATAAACTGAGCGCGTAGTTCTTCCAAGTTTCTTAAAGTGCCAATTCTTAAAGTAATCGATTCTGAACACAATCCGACATGTTATTTCACCAATCTATTTACCGAAGCCAATTCATCGATGACTTCTTGACGACACCAAAAATCTTTTTTGAAATGCAATTTCCTATAAAATCCAGAGTCGTAGAGCTCATTCAGCAACCGGCAACATAAATGGAAGGAATCTACCTTGCCATCATAATCAATCGCCAATATTATAAATATTTAACATTTGTGCAAACAGCAATCAATGATGCCAATTCATCTCCATTTACATCGTAAAATTTACCATTTATTTTTACACTTTCCGCTTTACTTAAAATTTCTTTCATTTCGTTAATCAGAGGTATTCTTGTATGAAAATAACAAATTTCGATTCCTTTCATTGATGTTGAATGTTTCAATGCAGCTACAAAATCTATTATATAATTCTCATCAGCTTCGGACTCATATTCAAGTTGTACGTTTTGAAGGAAATCGTTAAAACAATCTATCTTGATACTTTTAAGGAAAAAACAATTTAAATGAATAGTTTCTACGAATTCTGCTTGTGCGGCTCCATAGTTTAGTTGAAAACAATGACTGGCAATGCGTTGCATTCGTTTACATGTTTGAGCCAAGATTGCCAATTCCTTCAGCGATAAATAGTCGAAAGCTGCTTCGAAACAATCGATGTTAAGTTTAAAAATATCAGCCAATTGTTGTTCACCGTTCACAGCAACAACAGCCCGTTCATCTGGATTATTGTTTTCATCATTCGATTTCGTCCTCTTGGTACTTGTTCCACTTGGATCGGCGCTTTGTGTTTGGCTCATTTTATCTGCTTTGTAGGTCCGTTGATTACATGAGATAAAGGACATCCCTTTGGAAAGTCAAAAATATCCCAAATAGTACTCCGGCTTTTTGAACTTGATACGATATATTATAGTGTAACACAAGCAACGAAAAACTTTTACTCTTTGTGGTTCCAATTACTGATGTGATTTTTTTCCTTCTTTTTTTCTATGCTTTGACACTTCATTGAATGGAATTATTTTCCAGTGAAGTGACAACCACCAAGTACAAATAAAAATGTTAAGTAAAATATTTGATAACATGTTCGTTTAAATTCAGAAATTCAATTGCTTTACTTTATTGGGAACAGTTTTTCAAAAATAAAAATGCGCTCAGTTTTTATTAAATTTTTTAAAAAAGAAATTAGGCAGAATCAAATGTAAATAAAGAGTCTTACAGGAGTAAGACGAACTTTTCCGCACGGTGGTAGATGCGTATTCTATTAAGCTATTTGAAAATAATATTTGTTCGATTTTTCAAGCCTTTCAAGCGGCGTTAAGTTTGTGGCCAAAAAGTGTGTTCGGCATCGAAATATTCTTTTATTTAATAGCAGAAGTACTCGGAAAAGATTTTTCACACTTCATGATGAACCCATTTGTACGACATTTGAAAGAATTCTATTTTCTATAAAACACTATAAAAAATATGTCTGACGTTAATTTTGCCATAAACATTATTTTTGAAACACTTTTCATACAAAAGTAAAACAAAATGGATTTTTGTATGGGAATCATACCTGTATGGTATCGTAAGCACGTGAAACTTTGCACAGGTTATTTTTTTCACAAAAAAAACCATTCGAAAAGTTTGGAGAAATTTCAACGAAAATTATGAGTACCTCCCATACAAAATATTCTTTTTTGAACCAAAAATTGAAAATTTTGTATGGGAGGTACTCCTAATTTTGATTAAAATCTCATCAAACTTTCAGAATGTTATTTTTTGTGCAAAGTTTCACGTCATTAAGGTGACGGCATGGCTCCCATACAAAAATGCAATTTTTTGGTGATTTTTTCGAGGAAACTGTATCAAAAAGTGATTGTATCTCAAAATTAACCTCGTGCCAAAAAAAACCCCCAATACATATTTTTGAGTGTTTAAGTCTACATTAAGTATGACTTTTGGACGAAAATTGGACTCTTTTCCATAGGTATCACTCCAGGCATGACAATTTTTTCCATCGACCAAAATCGCTCAAAATCTAATGATTTCTATTCCTCGGGACCCCCAATCATCCTGTACAGTCAGATTTTAAATAACTTTTCTGGGGGGTGAGATAATCGATGGACAAATTTTGCGTACGGCGGACAACGTACGACGTACGACGTGGAACAGACCCACACCAACCATGCTCAAAACGGCCTGATTCGGGTTCTCTGACCTCAGAAACGTCCAGAAAACATGTTTTTGAGGTTTCGTTAATTTTGACCCATTGCAATACTTCCCCTTTCACACTAGGTGTGTGCGGAAAAGTTAAAGGTACAAAATATACGTATTTTACAATGCAAGTCATAGCATTTTCACCAAAGTGTCCAATTGTACGATGTGTCTCGTTTCATTTCAATCAATTTGAAGTCCTTCTGTTTCATTGCCCATTTTGTTGCAAAGTACACTACTTCCTCGACGTAAATTGTAATTTTGTGTGCTCCAACCAATTTCTCACGCTCTTTATTTAACGCCAATAAATCGAGAATTTTATTCAATCCAAATAAACATTCCACTTTAATTTTGTTCACTTTCTTTGCATGGCAAATAAATGGTAAAATATCATCAGAACTGGCTTTTATGAAATAAAGGCGTTTCAGTTTCGAAAGCATATGTGGAATTAACTTCAGATCAGAAATAAAGTTAGTTGCAGTGCCTAGTTCTTCCAAGTTTCTTAAAGTACCTAAAAGTAAATGTGTCTTCAATTCGAAATGAAATTTCACCAAACCTTTTACTGAAGCCAATTGATTGATAAATGCTTGAGGAATCCGAAGTCCGGGATAAAGAAAATGCATATGTAGATTCTTATAAAATCCAGACGCGTAGAGATCATTTAGCAAACGGCAAAGTAATTTGAATTCATAAGTGTTAAATTCATCACACTCCTTTCCAAAACCAATCGACAATGTATCAAATTTGATGTTTGACTTTTTGAACAACTCTCTATTTGACCAGAAAAGTTCCATGTCGACAGAAAACTTCTTAATTGTTGTGTTTAGCTCAAAAAATGTTTTTAGGCCTGGTATTTCGTCCGAACGAGAACTTTTCAATTCAAAATGCTCCAATGCTGGGTAAATTCTATGTGTCCATTGGTCTTCGTTTGATTGTCGGATCAAATATAAATATTTAACATTTGAGTAGCAACCAGCAATCAATTCGCCCAATACATTTTCTTTCATATCGTAATGACAATCTATTGTTACACTTTCTGCTTTACACAGAATTCCTTTCATTTCGGTAGACACAGCCATTGTTAAATGACCAGAATAATCAAAAATGTTGATTATTTTAATTGATGTTGAATGTTTCAATGCAGTTACAAACTTTATCATATAATCCTCTTCATCATCAAGTAACCAAAGTCGTACGTTTTGAAGGAAATCGATAAAACAATCTATCTTGACCAAGTTAAGGATAAAAGACGGTAGGTATGGATAGAATTCTGCTTTTGCGGCTCCATAGTTTAGTTGAAAACAATGACCCGCTATTCGTTGCATTCTTTTACATGTTTGCCCCATAGCTGTTTGCCACATAGCTTAAGTTTGAAAATATCAGCCAATTGTTGTTCACCGTTCGCAGCAACGACAGCTCGTTCACCTTGATTATTGTCTTCATCAATTGGCTCTATTCCCTTAGTATTTTTATCGGTCATTTTGTTTGCTGTATCGGTCTATTGGTTAGATGAACCAAAGAATGTTCAATTAACACACTAAATCAAATTTAGTGAATAAAAATTAGCACAATGACCAAATTATTGACATCTTGTGTGATAGTATATTATCATTACATCGCTTCATTATAGCATGAATACGAAACAAGTTTTATTCTACCCTGCATTGTTAAATACAATATAATAATTCATGTAGTGTGATTCCCATCACTGACGCAACTAACAAGAACTAAACGCAAAATGCTTACCATCAAATCAAATGTAGAATTATTAAAACGATAAACGCAAATCAATTCTGATCTTTGTTCTCTTCTATTGACAACTGAGTTATTTTTCTGGTTATTTATTGTGACATTTCATTCCAATGAACTGACGTTTAATAAGTACAAATTCAAACATTAAGTAAAGTGTATATCCAACCACATAGTAATCGTATTTTTCAATTCATACTTTTTCTGTGTATATTTCCTCTTGAAAACAATAAATAATGTGAGAGTTTTGAACATTTAAATGAATAAGATGCGATAAACTATGAAATTGTAGGCCATCTTACCATTTAAAAATACAATTACCATAGCTTATAATATACATCAGTGATAAAATAACAGCTAGTGAAATTTATTTAAATTGATTTATTAGTATCATTATTTAAACTATAAAAAGGTCGATTTTAAATATATCAAACATTTTTGATTTAACAAAAAAATGACTCCATAAAACTAATTTTAAAAAAATATATAAGAATAAATCTTTGACAGTTAAAAATTGTGTGGCTCATACTCAATATTTCCAATCGTACGATGTGATTCGTTTCATTTCGATCAATTTGAAGTCCGTCTGTTTCATTGCCCATTTCGTTGCCAAATACACATCTTCGCTGACGTAGATCATGATTTTGCGCGCTCCAACTAATTTCTCACGCTTTTTATTCAACGTCATTAAATCGAGAATTTTATCAATCTGATCGAAATGTGATCCACTGCATAATTGTTCCACTTTAATTTTGTTCACTTTCTCTGCATGGCAAATAAATGGTAAAATGTCATCAGAACTGGCCTTTATGAAAAAAAAGCGTTTCAGGTTCGAGAGCATAAGCGGAAGTGACTTAAGATCTTCAAAAGAACAACTGTGGTATACACAAACCTCTTCCAAGTTTCTCAAAGCACCAACTTTGGCACTAAACATTTTAAATGCGGCTTGAAATTTCACCAGTCCTTTTACTGTAGCTAATTGATCGATAGTTCCTTGATTAGTCCCGAAGCTGTCGTCAAAATAAAGTTTCTTATAAAATCCAAACTCGTAGAGCTCATTTAGCAAACGGCAAAATAAATGAAAATCAACATTGCGCTCATGAATAATCTCCAATGTATCAAATTTGATGTTTGAATTTTTGAACAACTCTCTGTTTTGCCATAAGAGCTTAGCATCGACAGAAAATTGTTTAATTGTTGTGTTTAGCTCAAAGAATGTTATTAATGCTGGTGTTTCTTGACTACTCTTCAGATCCAATTCAAAATGTTCCAAAGCTTGATAGATACGGTGCATCCATTTGTATTCGTTTACTTGTGAAAGTTGTCCATCTAGTGATAAATATGTGATATTTGAGCAAGCGGTAGTCAATGCGTCCAATTCATTTTCATTTTCATCATAACCATATATTTTCACACTTTCGGCTTTACTGAGAAGTACTTGCATTTCGTTAATCCAATCCATCGTTAAACGACCATTAATTTCGAAACTTTTAATTGATCTTGATTGTTTCAATTCAGTTACAAAACCTATCATATGATTATGCGTAGCATTCTCAACTCCAGAGTTATCAAACTCATCTTCACCATCTTCGTCATCTCCGTAATTTGTAAGATATACGTTTTGTAAGAAATTGTTAAAACAATCTATCCTGACACCATCAAAGAAAACACCATCTTTCCAGAATTCAGCTTGTTCAGCTCCATAGTTTAGTTGAAAACAATGACCGGCAATTCGTTGCATTCGTTTACATGTTTGTCCCATAGCTGTAAAATCCTTCAGCGATAAATAGTCGAACACTTCTTCGAAACAATCGATGTTAAGTTTGAAAATATCAGCCAATTGTTGTTCACCGTTTACAGCAACAACAGCACGTTCAGCTGGATTATTGTCTTCATCATTTGATTTCATTTTTTTGGCACTTGGTCCACTTTGATCAGCATTTTGTTCTTGGTTCATGGTGTTTGTTTTCTCGACCTGTTAATTACATGAAAGAGAGAAATTTCATTTAAAACACACAGAAATATTATTAATCAATAAAAATCATTGAAAGAATTACAATATTGAAATCTTGTGTTATAGTGCAACGCAATCGACTCGGTTTACTATGTCACATTTTTTTCACAATAGTATTAATACAGAAAGCCTGTAACACATGTTTTATTCTACCGCGCAGTGCCACCCATAATAATAAACTTTATCAAAATAATATGGTTCCAATCACTGAATAAAAATAAGAAGAAACAAACGCAAAAGCTTACCTTAAATTTTATGTAGAATAATTAATACAATGCAATTCTCTATAATTTTTCTCTTCAAATGGCAAATGAGATATTTTTTTGATAAGGAATTTGACACTTCATTGAATCAAGAGTGCGTTCCAGTGAACTGACATTTATTAAGTACAAATTCAAATATCAAGTAAATTTTGTACTCAACCATATGACTATTTAAATTCATAATATGCTTATTAACCCTCTAATGCATTAATTTTTTTTCGACGTGAGAACTATTTTTCTATGATTACTTTGGTTTCAAATTCCTTAAAAAAATAATCGAAATTCAAAAAGTTGCATAGTTTAGTCAAAAAATGCTATTGACAAATTTGGAGAACAATCGAATCCATTGTTTAAACTGCTATAAAATTGCTATAAACGAAGAGAGAAATAATTTTTTTTGTCAAATTTCTGTTTTCGCGTACATTTGTGTTTATAATTAAACAACCGTGTTTTTTTCACTTGTCAAATGACCGGCAAATGAAAGCCTGAACCCTGCTGAAAATATTGTAATTCATAAATAGAATCATTTGTTTTTAATTATATATTTTAGACAATAATTTATACACCCTGCCTAAAGGCAGGGCTATGCACTAGAGGGTTAATTCATATTTCTTATGTGTACATTTCTTTTTGAAAGCAATAAATTAATGTACCAGTTTTGAATATTTAAATAAATGAGATGCGATAAATTATGAAATAGTAGTCCATCTTACCATTTAAGGAGAGAATAAAAGCAGATCCGATAAATTGTCAGTGTTAACACAATAAATATGACACAGCTACTGAATTTTATGTTATTCAACTCATTACATTTATTATATATGGATTTTTTCTCAATTTAAACTCTCGAAAATGTCGATTGGAAATATACAAAAAAAAAATGATATAAGAAAAAAAAACTCAATACAACTAATTTGATTCAGAAAAAGTAAAATGCAGAAAAAATCAAATAAAAACTTAAAAATCCCAATCGTACGATGTGATTCGTTTCATTTCGATCAATTTGAAGTCCGTCTGTTTCATTGCCCATTTCGTTAGCAAATATACATCTTCCGGGACGTAAATCGTGATCTTGCGTGCTCCAACTAATTTCTCACGCTCTTTATTCAATGCAAACAAATCAAGTACGTTGTCGTTTTCATCGAAATGTGATCCACTCAAAAGCTCTTCAACTCTAATTTTGTTCACTTTCTCTGCATGACGAATAAATGGTAAAATGTCATCCGAACTAGCATAATCAGAATGAACGCGTTTCAGATTTAAAAGAATACCTGGAAGTGATTTCAGACCAATAAGAAAACAACTTTGACGGATGCATAGTTCTTCCAGGTTTCTCAAAACACTAACATTGACATTTTTATCAAATTTGAGTCTAAATTTCACCAAACCTTTTACTGAAGCCAATTCATCGATCACTTCTTGATGCATCCAATATGGGCTATTAAAATGCAGTTTCTTATAAAATCCAGAATCGTAGAGCTCATTTAGCAAACGACAAAATAATTGGAATTCAACAATGCCATCACCGTCATCATAATTAATCGCCAATATATCAAATTTGATATTTGAATTTTTGAACAACTCTCTGATTGACCAAAATAGTGTCATATCGACCGAAAATTGCTTAATTGTGGTGTTTAGATCAAAGAATATTTTTATTTCTGGTATTTTTGCCCGAAAACCATAACTCAATTCAATATGTTCCAATGATGGGTAGATTCGATGCATCCATCGATGTCCCTTTCTCAGAGATAAATATTTAAGATTTGAGCAAGCAGTCAATGCGTCCAATTCATTTTCATTTTCATCATAACCGTGTATTCTTACGCTTTCAGCCTTACTTAGAACTTCTTTTATTTCATTAATCCGCGGCATTTTTGAACGAAAATCACTAATATCGATTTTTTTAAATGATGTTGAGTGTTTCAATTGAGTTATAAAATTTATCATACGATTATATCTAGCATTCTCGTCTTCCTTTCCGCCATACATAAAGTATACGTTTTGTAAGAATTTGTTAAAACAATCTATTTTGACACCGTTAAGGTCAAAACCACCTTTATTGAAATCTGCTTCTGCAGCTCCATAGTTTAGTTGAAAACAATGACCGGCTATGCGTTGCATTCGTTTACATGTTTGACCCATGGCTGCTAAATCCTTCAGCGATAAATAGTCAAACACTTCTTCGAAACAATCGATGTTGAGTTTAAAAATATCAGCCAATTGTTGTTCTCCGTTCACAGCAGCAACAGCACATTCAGCTGGACTATTTTCTTCATCATTCGATTTAATTTTGTTGACATTTGTTTCACTTTGATTAACGCTTTGTTGTTGTTGTTGGTTCATTGTATCTACTTTGTCCGTCTCTTGATTAAAGAAAGTTCGAAAGAACGCAAAATGCTTACCTTCTATATAATGTAGAAATTTTTTTGTTCTGTTTTATTTTTCCTCGTCAAATGACAACTGACTTAACTTTCTGATTATTTATTTTGACATTTCATTCCAATGTGTCAGTTCATTGTTAAGTACAAATTCAAATGTTAAGTAAAGTGTGTATTTAATAATATGATTGTTAAAATATTGAAACAAAAATTTTAAAGAAAAATTAACTGACTCTTATGTTAAATTTCTTATCCATATATTAAATTGAAAAAATGTTATAAATGATGTTCAATCGAATTTAGCGTCGTGTTGCTACTAGCGTCGGTTTCATTGAGACAAGTCTCCTTTGTATCTCTAACAATCCAAATTGGACTTCATTGCTTCTGTATTTCGAAAAGCATTGAAGCGATGACTGAAAAAAGAATCATTTTGGTTGATTTAGAAGCTCGTGGAACATTCATGACCTTATCCACTGATAAAATGTATTTTCCCTGGTCAAATTACGTCAAAAGTTCCAGTGAAGTATTAATTTTGGATTCTCTTCCTTCAATTTTAAGTTTTCTTAAAGTTGAGCGATTTTGATTGATAAAGTCCAAAAAATGGTCGTTGATTTCAAAATAGTCTTTGTCCAATGTAAATACCTCCAATTCGTCGAATGACGGTGGTAATTTCTCTGCAAGTTTGCATAAAATGATAATACCAAAGAAAATTCTTTCACATTTTCAAAGCAACACTTGACTAGAGCTGGGCACGAACATCAATGTCTGACTGTGATCGGTCGTTCGTGTGCGTTTTTTTCCTTTTTTGTGATCGGTCGTTCGTTCGTTGAAGTTATTAATGGTCGGTCGGTCGTTCGTAAAAATTGAAATGTTCGTTGTGTTCGTTCGTATGTGCGATCGAACACCGAACACTTGCGGACGTCCAGATGCTCGAAGCAAAACTGTAAAATCAGGTTTGTTAAATAATTTATAATTGGACAAATTTAAAGAAAAAAATATTTAAATAAATAAATTTTTAAATATTTTCTAATTCATATAAATTTTCTTTCTCAAGTGTTCAAAATATTAATTTTTTTTATTACGAAATGTTATGAAATTCATCTTTTATTTCATCATTGAAAATATGAGGTTATTTCAGGTATAGACTATATTTTAATTTCCTAAAATTCGTAATAAGAAAAGGAGCGAGTACGACGTTTCCCCCTTTGCTAAGCGAAATAAATCCGATATGCGGCGCTGATTTAAATGTCACTCTATGTCATTCCACAATGATACATTTTTTGGCTTGACAATATATAAGCTCTTCATTCAACATGCATAATTTTTGAACGGTCGAGTAAAAAAAAGAAACATATCATAAAATATTCTTCTTACGTTTATTTTAAATTTATTTGTTTAAAAATAACAATAATTTCAATTTTTTTTTCATAGATTGAACAAGAATCTAATGTAAAAAGTAATACCAATGCGACACCTACCGTTAAAATAGAAAAGGAAACTTATTTGGAATTGTAACATTTTGGTCCGCCATAACAGCATCTTCGTTTTGCTTCTCTGTGATTGGTCAAGTAAAACGAAGATGCTGTCATGGTGGACAAAAATGCTACAATGGATACCAACTAAGTTTCTTTTTGCATTTTTACGGTAGGTGTCGCATTGTCATTACTATTTACATTGGATTCTTATTTAATCGATGAAACATTTTTTGTTGAAATTATTGTAATTTATAAACAAATTAATTTTTTTATAAAAAAAAAATTTAATAAATTTTTTAATGAAAAATGTTAGAAAAATATTTTATGACATGTTTTTTTTTCAACGATTCAATAATTATGAATGTGTATGCATTTTAAATGAAGAGCTTATATATTGTCAAGCCAAAAAAGTATTATTGTGAAATGACAGAGTGACATTTACATCAGCGCCGTATATCGAATTAATTTCGCTTGGCATAGGGGGAAATATTTTGACAGATAGTACTCGATCCTTTAATATTTTGTTAGTGTTCAAATTAAGAACATAAATGAATATGAATTAGAAAATATTTGACATTTATTTAATTATTATTATTATTTGTAGAATATCAAAATATTTAACAGAGAATTGCAAACTCGACTTGACAATTTTTGCGCCGAACATCCGGACGTCCGGGCGTGTTCGGTGTTCGATCGCACATACGAACGAACACAACGAACATTTCAATTTTTACGAACGACCGACCGATCATTAATGATTTCAACGAACGAACGACCGACCACAAAAACATATTTTTTCAATGTACGAACGAACGACCGACTGTTTGTGCCCAGCTCTGCACTTGACATCGTCCATAGCAATAAAATAATTTGCAGATCGAACATTGAATACTTTTAGACTTGGCATACATGTATGCAGAAAATTAAGTTTTTGGTCGCTGCTTTGCCGAACAATTTCAAACTATATAATTGTCGATTTGATTTACAAATGTCGTCGGTGATCGATGAGGTTTTCGACCGACGCATTTGATGTTACAGGTTTTCATAACCTTTAATGACGCAATCCACGCAAAAATTTCATTGAACTCATCACGTCAAATATCTGAATGTCACCACGGATAGTATCTATTTTTCTGTTTCTCATTTTATAGACGTTGGTGATATCAAATTTCTTGTTTATGTCGTTTCTTTTCAATGTCAACGGCCCGCTTATAGCACCCATTGATTAAATCGTTGATATTCAAATATTTGAAAATTTCCTCCAGACAATAGTCGCCTAAATACGTTATGTTGGGGGGTTGATTTAAACTCTTCGCCGTAAGCTTCTTCGTTGAATTGCCGGTGGATCGATGTCACATTGGTAAATTCTATTTTGCAGAGCATGTTGATTTTTTTTTTTTACTTTTTAAAGAATTGGTTTTTATCTCAGAAACCAGCCGATTACAATGGCAAAAGAATAAATTTGGTTATCAATTGTAGATATGATGTGAACTGGTTTTGTGGTGGATCCGGCCTGGTCGACAACTCCATGAAGTTCGTTATTTTTTCGATTTTCCCATCGGAAAAGCGGAAAAATCGATTGGTAGTCTTTTTCGTCGTACACACGTATCAAGTTGTGTACAACGCTGTATGTTGTACGCAGTAGATGCATACGCATCCACCAAATGAGCCCCTCTATGATAGGTTAGGAGGGGTCCGAGGAAAAAACTGATGATGCCAATCGCCAGAGCATAAAAAATTATCCAAGGTTGATACACCCTTTGGGAATATTCGAGCTCCAAAGACGAAGAATCGAGGTAGAAAGAAAAAAAACTACCTCATCGCGTATTTTTTTCATACAAAATGCACTACGGGTCAATCTGACCCAGACACACGGGATTAAGTTGTAAACACAACACACGGGTCTAAGGTTAAGCAGTTTTCTGTCAACTTGGTACTTTTCTGGTCAAACAGAGAGTTGTTCAAAAAGTCAAACATCAATTTGATACATTGGAGATTATTCATGATCGCAATATTGAATTTCATTTATTTTGCCGTTTGCTAAACGAGCTCTACGAGTCTGGGTTTTATAAGAAACTTTTTTTTGACGGCAGCTCCATCAGGATTCATCAAGTAATTATCGATTAATTGGCTTCAGTAGAAGGACTGGTGAATTTTCGTGCCACATTGGATGCAAATGGTGTTAAAGTTGGTGCTTTGAGGAACTTGGAAGAGTTTTGCGTATACCACAGTTGTTCTATTGTAGATCTTAAGTCACTTCCGCTTATGCTCTCGAACCTGAAACGCTTTTTTTTTTCATAAAAGCCAGTTCTGATGACATTTTACCATTTATTTGCCATGCAGAGAAAGTGAACAAAATTAAAATGGAACAATTATGCAGTGGATCACATTTCCATCAGATTGATAAAATTCTCGATTTAACGGCGTTGAGTAAAGAGCGTGAGAAATTAGTTGGAGTGCGAAAAATCATGATTTACGTCAGTGAAGATGTGTATTTGGCAACGAAATGGGAAATGAAACAGACGGTCTTCAAATTGATCGAAATGAAACGATTGACATCGTACGATTGGGAATATTAAGTATTAGTCACACAATTTTGAACTGTCAAAGATTTATTCTTACACATTTTTTTGTAAATTAGTTTTATGCCATCATTTTTTGTAAAATCAAAAATGTTTGATATTTTCAATCGACATTTTTCTAAGGTTTAAATTTTTCCTTTTACATAATAAATTCCAATGATTCGAATAGCATAAAATTCAGTAGCTGTGTCATATTTACTGTTTTATCACTGACAACTTATCGGATGTGCTTAAAAAGTGTCCTATTTGAATTGTAAGATGGACTACTATTCCATAATTTATCGCATTTTATTTATTTAAATGTTCAAAACTATCTTATCACATTAATTTATTGCTTTTAAGAAGAAATGTCCACAGAAAAAATAAATATGAATTCAAAATCATTTTATGAATTGAATCGATCGTGTGGTTGAGAACATACTCTACTATTTGAATTTGTGCTTATAAATTGCCTAACTTTCAACGAAATGTCAAACTGATTATCAGAAAAAGTGACTCATTCAGAGAGAAGAACTCAACAGCATTGTATTGTTTGCTGGTTTACATAATTGATGGTAAGCATTTTGCGTTTAGTTCTTTTTATTTTCATCAATGATTGAAACCACACTACTTGAATACTATACGTTCTAATACATAATGTAAATTATTGTGAAATACATGAAATATTACAGAGCCGACAGATCTCAACAGTGTGGTCCTTCTGCTGGTTTTTACTCGTATTCATAAAAAGTATTTCTGTAGCGATTTAATGAAGAGAATAATCGAGTTGAGGGTGATTTTGTTGATGTAAACGTAGAACAGTAATTGGCTGATACTTTCGGCATAAATGGTTTTACGATCAGAAATGGGAAAATGCTTGTCAAAACTGTAGAATGCTAGTTAAAGTAGAAAAGACTTTAAAATTCATTTTGATTTATTTGATTCTTACATTCTCTGAAAGATTACAATATAACGTGATCAATATTTTAATGTTTGTGTGCAGTAACTAAGTTAAAGACGTTCAAA